TTATCGATTCTGGAGCCACTAACCATATGACAGATTCTTCAAATCTTTTCTAATCTTATTCCACATGTTGCACTAAAGATAAAGCTATGGTAACAGATAGCTCATTGTCATCTGTATCAGGTAAAGATTCCATTCATTATTCTTCTTCTATATCTTTGTCTTTAGTTCTTAATGTTACTAATTTTTCTACTAATTTACTCTCAGGTAGTAGCATTACAAAGTCTCTAAATTACTCTGTAACATTCTTCCCATCTCATTACATTTTTTAGGAACTGGAAACGGAGAGAATGATTGGCAGTGGTAGTTTATATCTACTAGAGGATCAACCTTATCAAACACTTCAAGCTTCTGGTTTTGTGTCCAACAATTAAATCAATGGCATCGAAGACTTGGTCATCCATCAGTAGGAGTACTAGAGAAATTTTTTCCAGTTTTGATAAAACAATGTAATAAAGATAATATTCTTTGTAATGCTTGTGAATTTGCCAAGCATACAATAACTTCTTATCCTAGTAATAATAATATAAGTACTATCCCGTTTATGATTGTTCATTCTGATGTTTGGTAACCCGGTGAACCGAAGCCTGAACCAGGCCGGTTTAGTTATTGGATTATTTGAGCAAAGAAACTGGACAAAACCCGCTGAACCGGGTGGTTTTGTAACAAAATCTATGAACCGAACGGTTTATGATGATTCTGAATGACATCATCATTCTAGATCAAATAGAGGCACTACTAGACTCGAATTTTCATACGCAATCTCATGGTATGCTTGATTTTTGATTTGTTTTTCAATTTTTGAATGTTTTTCTAAATTTTTTGACCTATTTTTTTTATTTGAGATTTGGAACTGTTTTTATCGATTTTTTTGCCTTGAATCTACTTTAAGGGATGCGACTATAGTTGTTTGATGTTTGGTTGGTTGATATGAGGGTAGTAGGTTGTGTTTGTGTGGATTTTTGTCTCTTTGGGCAAGTTCGGCTTCTTGTTGTTGCTCTTACCCCTATGTATTGTGATAACACCAATGCTATTCAGATTGCTCACTACTCAGTATTTTATCAGTGTACAAAGCATATTGAGATTAATTGTCACTATGTGCGCCATTATCTTCAATTGGGTACAATCTCTCTACCCTTCTTTTCTTCCACTATATGGTTGACAAATTCTTTACAAAGTCTCTTACAATCATGTGCTTCAGTTTTATTCTTGACAAACTTCTGATGTTTGCTGCCACATTGCCACAACATCTTGAGTTTGAGGGGAGGGTGTTAGAGGAATCTAGTGTAGTAGTATTAAGGATAGTTTAGTCATTCATTTTGTTCTGTTTTGCCCTACTATATAAGATTGTTATTTTCTTTTTCAGTTATGTAATACATACTTAAAATATAGTAATGAGAATCTCTTTTCCTTTCTCTTTCTCTTCTCTCCTTTTCTTTTGATCAATATTAACAAGAACATAAGGCATTGAATTGTTTTAACATTCACACCTTTATCTCAACTCTACTCAATCCAACAAAATCTTATTTTAACATTTTTTTAGTTTGGCTACACGAATTCTGTTGCACTATTGTGGTCTATTAAGGATCATATTTTCTATTAAACCATAAGTTATCATGTCTTTCTTTACTATGTTATTTAAAATTAATTTTGGTCTTAATCTATCCCTTCAATTACTGTCAATAATTGTCACATCACTCCTTCGTCGGGGCCATAGTAGGTTGTTTATACATATGTCCAAACTAGCTACGTCGATTCTCCTTTAGTTTATCTCCTATATGTGATACGTCTATTTTTTCACAGATATTCTCATTCCTAATTATATCCTTCATTTATGCATGTTTTAGGTATAATAATACACCCATATTCTTAATGATTTATTATTGATTTCATTTTACAATAGGGCTAGTAAAGTCTGAAATTGGATAGGCTTAGGAAGAAATATCACGTCCAATTGGTTGCGACTTGCTAGATTTTAAATGCTAGTAGCATTGGTTGATGACTTCTATGGCATACATTAATCATACACCCATGAGTTAATTGATCACTCACACCAAAATATCTAGTGAAGACATCAAATCACAAGCCCTTTCTCTATCTCTCTCCCTCTCTAATTGTTTTCACTACATGCCACCAAAAGCAAAAAAAAAAAACTCTTATTTCTCTCAATTTTTTGTTCGGCTAAACAAGTGATACACAAATTTCAATCGAAAAATTGAAAAGTTCTCAGAGATCATTGATCATATCAAAGTAGAAAGTAAAACCCTAATTCTTGAAGAAGACATTGAATGTGTGGAGAGAGAGAGAAAAACGCAATACCTGAAGAGTCGAATATTTGTTGTGGTGCTGTGAGCCTGTGGGTCAAAGAATCTAAATCAAAGAATCTAGGCACTTCGAGTCTTCGATTGAGCGATTTGCCAGTGTGCTCTATGTGTGTGTGTGAGGGAGAGGGAGAGAGAGAGAGAGAGAGAGGGGGGTGGGTGGGGTGGGGTGGGGTGGGGTGGGGTGACCAGTCGCCTCATTGGAGATGAGGAGAACAGAGGCAAAGATGAATGAATTTGGGAAAAAAAAATGGCTAGAACCTCCTTTAATAGCATTTGAAGCAACTCGTCCAATTTGTTTTTCACATGCTGACTTCAGCCCACGGCTATTGCTATTTTACTGGTGTGATGATGTGATATTAAAGGTATTTTGGACCCAAACCAACTCTGTTACCACGTTATTATTAATCAAAGAAAAAAGAGAGGAAAGAAAGAGAACTACACAATAACTATCTTATATAGAAGGGCAAAATAGAATAACATAAATAACTAAACTACCCCTAATACTAATATAATAGATTACTCAAACACTTGTCACCGTTGCGTGACATCCTTTACGCACCATTTTCATTTCATCATAACTGCATTGTTACCAACAATTTAAAAGCATGCCTTTAAGGCTAGCATGATTTTAGTACTAGAAAACAATACCATGCAGATTTCAAATAATTTGGACTACGGTAGGTGAGAAATTGGCAATTCCATGGAATTGGAAATAAATAGACTTGTTTAAATTCTATTTTAGGTATAGACTTATTTAAATTCTATTTGATACATTATTTGTGTAATAGCAGGATTTTCACTGAGGGTAGCATGAAAGTAAGATGAACATCCACCATCAAGAATCCATTGAATCACTTATTTATCCACATGCACAAACCACATGTCACCTAAATGGAATGACATAAATCAACAACCAATTGCTAAAGAATATAAGTTCTTCTAAATAAAAGGTCTTCACGGGATGACACTGGGACAATTCCCATCTTGCCCAGTAGGACACATTCTCAAGAAAAGACTCTTGCTTCCCTAAAACATCTACACTTTGTTTGGTTTGTGGATTAAAAAGAAGGAAAGGAGATTAAAAAGAAAAGGTAAAGGAAATGAGAATTCCTTACTGGTCTCTTTCCTAGTTAGGAAACAATAGAATATTATTAAAGTGGAAAAGAAAATAGAACATGAGAGGACAAGGAGCCCTCAATAGATAAATAAAAAGAAAAGGAAAGCCAAACAAGTTCAATCCAAAATTACAATAAATAGGTAAAAAAATCAATTGGCATCACCATTCACACACTTAAGCCCAATGGTCTTTAATTAAAATTCAAGGAATCCCATCAGATTCTTGAGACATGGAGACAAAAGAGATGTCATGAAAGAGACTTAATCCCAAAGTTCTTCCCAAGGAACCTCCTTTTCCTCCAAAATCCCAAAGTTCTCTTTCCTAAAACAACACTAGAAGTTCAAATTTCTCAAATCATGAGAAAGGATAATGACATGTTAAACAAAAAAATTGCTCTTTGGCGCATAGTATCGTTTTTTTCTCTTCAATGAAAAATAAATAAGAGAAAAGGAATTCCTTAACATTTTCTTTTCTTTTTCCCTTGCTAGATTCATGAGCCAACCAGAGCACTTACTTGAAAATTCGTGATTTGAAGGCCATGCTATTTTTTGTTTTCCTTTCTTCTTGGATTTCAAAACTTGAAAGCTTTGGTTCACATATTGGGTTTCATCAGCTCATACATTGTCAGTATAAATGTTATAAAGGACCAGAAACACTAGATGATTCTCACAATCTACTGGTTCAAAATCCTTGATTCTTTTCAAAAATAAGTTCACATGCATATACGAGTATGGGCATTGGCCGCTTCTTTGCCAAGTATCCAATGCCACCACCCTGATGGAGTGGCTTGTTAAAACTAAGAGCCACTCTTAGAACCACAAGCTAGAACGTGGATATCCTCACTACACAAAAATATATAGCTCAATTTCCGTAAGCTAATACATTGCACACCTCACTGTAAAATGGACAGAAGGAACAGAGGAGATAACATTATTTGATAAAAATAAAGTAAGAAGATAGATAAAGAAATATCCGGAAATAAAATCTATATAATAAACAGGAGTGTGTTTGAATTTTATCCCAGTCATATTTTCTCCCTCAAAACCATCACCAATCACTTACCTCACCTATAATTCCTTTGTCAGACTCAAACGTCAAATCACATCGCTCTCTTTTATCCATATTTAATCATTTATATGTTTCCTCCCTAAAAATATCACATCACTTATTTTTATCATATATTCAATCATTTAATATTTAATAATTAATTGGTAGTTAATATATTTTTAAAAAATTTCATATAGTGGGATCGATTTTTTGGATGCTCGAATTTTATATTTTAGCGTGCCCGAAGGCACGGGTTATGACTAGTATACATGTATAGGACTAATTCAAATCTGCATAGCTGTCTCGTTTCGACAAGGAGTAGATACCACTATTCGGCCAGTAGTATTAGATAAAAAAACTAAACAATCCGTTACAATATACTATTGGAGGAATACAATCAAACCAAGGTGGGTTGGGTATGGCAAAATAAGAATAAGATACAATTTCCGAACAAGCCAAGAAAAATTATCATAATATAGATCTATTCACCACCGAAACATCCCATTCATATATTACTAAAGTCCACAGTACTTAAATAACCCTATCTGGCTCAACACTATAGGCACATTTTCCTGGATGTCAATCATTCAGGACCAAAACTCACAAAATGGCAAAAATCAATTCACAAATAAGCACGCAGACACAGATGCATTTTTATGGAGAAAGAGCTAACTAAAGAGTGACTGACCTTATCATGAATACTATGTGGTGAATTAGCTTTGTTCTTGACCCATCGGACTCGGAGTTGAGCAATGGTGTCGCCGGCAAGAGCTAGAGATGCAGCCGTCGCAGCTTGCTTAAGGGGGAACCGGTAACCGGCTCCTCCGGTTGCCTCCACTGAGTCGGAGGATTTAGATTTCTTGTTTCTGCTTCTACTCCTTGGTTGTTGAGATTGAAATGGCAGCATTCCCCAAATCCAGCCATTACCACCTCCACCCAACGCATCCATTCTCAGAGAAGAGACCAACAAACTGTTTGTATGTGTGCGTGTGCGCGTGCGTGTGCGTGTGTGTGAGATGGGGAGAGAGAGATTTGGGAGGGGGGGGAGGAGGAGATGAAAATCGTGGAGTATAATTTTTAGGACTTTTTATTTTGGTAAATGAAATAGAGAATTAACGTCATAATTACACTTTGAGAACACAACTTTATCAAAATTATAAATTTTACCCATTCAACTTTACTATATATCATTTGCCTCTTGATTTGCCCCCAAAAAGTTGAAATAAATTCTGTTGGAGAATTCCTGCATCTTATTAGGATGGTGAAAAGGTTCAAGAACAATAATCAAGGATATATTATATATCTTTATAAAATTTGTGACTAATTTATAATTTTTCAATTATAGCAATCAAATTTGAAGTTTTAAAAATCAGTGTGGCCACTCATTACTTCTTGTCGGATTTTGGATGCAAAATCATACATCTTAATATATCACCCGAATTTCACATTACTCTTCCACTGTTGGTTCAAGTTACTCATTCAACAAGTCGCCGAATTAGTTTTGCATTATCCCAAAACCAAACATTCATTATATTTTATGTCATTGATTGTTCGGGGGATGGGAAACTAATTAACACAGTTTGGTAGGTTTGTTTCTACGAAGCACGGATATTTTGTTGAGACTGATGTACTCGTATCAAATACGATACTCATCAGATATTCGAGGATACGTATCAGATATACCTTCTACGTATTCAATAATAATTAACTATTAGGATACTTCACGGATACTTTTGTAGTTGAGCAACATTTATAATTTTTTAGTTAAACTTTTAACATCTCTTTTCGAATTCACATACTATACAATATATTAACAAAAATTTCATATTACTTTAAAAGCACATGATTATTTTTTAAATATTATTTACAATTACATATCAAAATACCATATAATAAAGCTATTACATTATAATCTTATTAAAAATTACTTCTAAATACTAGGTAAATATTAATTTTGATTCCTTTAATTAGTCACTTCACTTTGTGAATATATCAAAGCGACACGATATATATTTTCTTGAAACTAAAAAGAATTACTAATTTTCCTTATTATATGTTAAAGAACAACCAAAATATATAAGTGTTAAGTTTGTTAAAAATAATAAAAATATTAAATATATTTTATTATAATCGTATCTTGACCGTACTCGCATCTTATTTTTTTAGATTTTGTCGTATCTGTATTGTATTGTATCCGTATCCGTGTTTCATTGGTTTGTTGCAAGCATCTGTATCATTTTCATCTAAATACAGACAATAATTGGATTTTGAAACATTGTGAAACTAATTAATGCAATTTGGAAAATTATAGAAAAAATAATAAAGAAACTAAGTTGAATTTGAGATTACAGGAAAGTATCATACGTCTTCGAAGCTAAGCTAAAAGTGGATCAAACTTTAATTATAGTATATATATAGAAACTATCAAGTTAACCAAGTGATTGGTCCGCCAGTTGCTGACGCACGAATAAATTTCGGCCAAAATGGTACACTAATAGTGCCAATTTCCAAGACAACAGAAAAATCTCACCTCTTGAATGTGTTGGTCCGAGATGAAATACAAGCAACGGTAAACTGTCGTTAGACTACTAATCACGTGCACTCGGAGAGAAAACAAAATATGACGACTTGATGATTTGATCGGAAGTTTATGAGAATTTTTTTAGATGAAGTCTTTCATGATCAAATATGTATTTATAGACTTCCAATGGTTAACAATATGCAACCATTCAAACTGGAGACACAACCTTTAACAAAGGTTGTGTCCGTTGCCGACCCACCAACGGTTGTAGCCGTTGCCCAGTGTAATCGCCGTCAACCACTTCCTCTCCTACCCGTACACGGAAAAACACCACCGGTGTCCATGAGTTCACTGACTTACAGCTCCCACTTGAACGTACATGGACATGATTCTAGAGTTTTTCAAGTTGGTGTTTACCTTTGGTACCCAAATTTTATTTTTACCAACTTTTTATCTGTAACCATTTACAAATAACATCAAAACATGGCAATAGACTTACGTGCGCACGCTTTTGCCTTTGAGTCTAATCGCACCCTTCCACATTTGTTATCCTTGCGGCTAGCATATTTCAGGTGACTTCAATTCACTTTACAACTAAGTGATTGGCATCAATGCTCCATACTAGGGATCATAAGGTCCACACCCTCAGTATCATTGACAACTTCAGCCAAACACAAATTTAATCAATGTGTCGACCAGCGCCCGAAATTTTGATCAAGCACTTCCTCTAAAGCCCATGCAAAGACTTTTCTCAATATACCTTATCGACGACTTAATACACCATGCATCTTAGGTGACTATGCAAAGATCTCATGGTGTCTCAAATGGACACTACACTCATAAGCATGTGATAACCCTGGAATGCCTGCTAGTGTCCTCTACCTTTTATCTGACCAATTCATATCCCTAATCAGTTAGAGTCACATCTTTCTATAAATTTTAGGCGTCCCCAAAATTTCTCTAAAGATGTCCTTCACTACGTAATACTGCAATACCTAAGTGCTTCTTAAACCCATTGCAGTTACATGCTCGCTGAATTTTTCCAGAGTCAACCCCTTGGTCATAAGATCAGCCACCATCTCTCCCGAGGGTATATAGTCGACTTTTATTTCACCCCTCTCCACTATATCTTGAATATAGTGATAATTTACATCAATGTGTTTTCCTTTAGAGCTATTAGCTCCACTTTTTATTAAAGAGTTATTGTCACAAAACACATTGACTAGCCTACTAGGTATACCCAACTTTAAACTATCAACAATGTGTTTAATCCAAACAACACTACTTATCGTTATACTGCACGCTATGTATTCGGCCTCCATTGTGTACTTTGCAACACAACCCTGCTTCTTACTTAGCCAAGAAATAGCCGTTCCACCAAATAAAAATATATGCCCACTTGTAGATTTTCTGTCATCTACATCACCTGCAAAGTCTGCATCCGTATAGCCAATAATTTCTAGATTTATTTAATTCAAAACACAATTTCATACCTGTCGTGCCTCTCAAGTATTTAAAAATTCTCTTCACTGCCTGCCAATGTGCCCCTTCCTAGATTGGATTGATATCTACTTACTAATCCTACCGCATGACAAATGTCGGGCCTTGTACTTGTCATATCATACATGAGACTACCCACAGCTTGCGCGTAGGGGACCTTACTCATTTCAAATATTTTCTCATTTGAACTAGGGCACATACCTTTACTTAAACTTTGACCCTTGCAGACAAGAGTGCTCAACGGCTTACTATTATTCATACCGAATCTCTTGAGCACCTTTTCAAGATACTTTTCTTGATCCAAATATAAGAGTCTAGAATTTTTATTTCTGGAGATTCTAATTCCCTAGACATAATTAGCCTCACCCATGTCCTTCATTTCGAATTTAGATCCCAAGTACGCTTTGGTTTCTTTGATCATATTTGGATAATTTTTTGCCAATAAAATATCATCTACATAGAGTGACAAAATTGTTAGTTTATCATGGTGTGTCCAAATATATACACAATGATCTAAAACACTAACTTCAAATCCTATTTCAAGGATTGCCTGGTGAAATTTTAAATACCATTGTCTAGAAGATTGTTTGAGCTCATACAAAGACCTTTTCAATTTACAAACTTTGTGTTCATGTCCTTTAACCTAAAAACCATCAGGTTGAATCATATAGATGTCTTCTTTTAATTCTCCATTAAGGAAGGCCGTTTTCACATCTAACTGATGTAATTCAAGATCTATCTTAGCTACAACTAACTTGAGTATCCTGATTGAAGTAAACTTAGCAACAGGAGAATATGTATCCACAAAGTCTATTCCAAGTTGTTGAGTAAATCGTTTAGCAACCAACCTTGCTTTATACTTATCTAGAGACCCATCTACTTTCAATTTCTTTTTAAGGACCTATTTGCAACCAATGACTTTCCTCTCTTTGGGAAGATCTACTAAATCCCATACATCATTTTTGTTAGTTGAATCAAGCTCTTCTTTCATAGCTTGAAGCCATTGATCTGCATCACTACTAGTGACTGCCTCCATAAAGTCCTTAGGATCATCTTTTAATATTATGTTTTCATCTAGGTTAAAAATGAAATGATCCTTTAATTTTTGAGACGGTACCCTCTTCCTTTTACTCCCACTTTTCTCAACATGTGAACCTTGTTCACCTTGGTCATCTATCATTTCCTGATCACCTTGGTCATCTATCATAACCTGATTAATAATATTATCAATAGGATTCGAAACATCAACATCTAATAATTTGACTTGATCAATGGGAGTTATTTGATTGGTAGACTCAATAAAAACAACATCTCTACTTTCAATCAATCCTTTATCCGAATGGAAGAATCTATATCCATTTCCATTCTCAACATATCCTATGAACTTGCATTCCCACGTCTTTGTTCCTAACTTATTTCTGAGAGGCTTTGGAATAAGTACATGTGCCTTACACCCCCAAACTTAAATGTCGTATACCATTCTCTACTTCCTTTTTATATTCTTTGAATCTATCAAGTGCATCAGACTTATGTTTGATTAAGTAGACATGACCAAACCTTGAATAATCATCAGTAAAAGTTATAAAATATTTCATTCCTCTATGAGTTTTTGTTCTTAAAGGTCCACATATATCCGAATGGACAACCTCCAATAAATCCAAAGACTTCCAATGTTTGTTAAAAGATTTTCTAGTCATTTTGCCTTTAACCCATGACTCACAAATATCAAAGTCTATTGTATTCATTTGAGGTATAAGGACCAATCTACTCATTCTGAGCATCTTGTCCTTATTGATGTGACCTAATCTTAAAAGCAATAGATAGGAATTATTTTCACTAGTTGAAACATTCATGTACTCAGAATAAGAAATTTTATTACTGTGGATAAGGTATGTATCTTCAAGCCTTAAACCCTTTACAATGACATC